AGTTCCAGAGTGCTTCTCTTCCTGATTAATCTTCATCCTAGTGGATTATTCAAGCTTCTTCTGAAGTAAGAACATAGGCTTTTCCTTTGCATAGTAGTTCTCTCATTTGTGGAGAGAGAAGGGCATGCTTTGTACTATCAGTTATTTGCTATTGATGTAATATCTACCATTTATTTGTATCTGTAGTATAAAGGCTATTTAAAAACTTATATAACTGGCAGGTCACTGGAATACTTGGGACTTTTAAGTAGGATTTAGGGAGGTCAGCTAGCCCTTGGGTATATCATAATTCTTAACAGAAGAGCTCTGAAATGGAGTATAACAGAAAATCTGTGTTCTGTCATTGATGCCACATTAGCTGTCTGTAATTCTTCTCACAGCCTCAGTTTTCTGCTTTCACTTTTTGAGCTAGAGTTGCTGTCCCAATTTTTCCAGTAGACTTCTCTGATTCACCCTGAGGAAGTCCTGTGGAAACTATGCCACGTGGTCAGTAGGTGTAAAGTTATTTTGCAAGAGACTTACAACTTTTGAAGGAACTTCCTCCAAGTGTGGAAAACACATAAAATATATTATCCTTTTAGTTCTGATGGGAATCCTACATGTTAAGCCTTTTTTTTCTTTTTTTAAGAGGAGGAAAAGAAAAAGAAGTACAGAGTACAGAGGTAGAGGAGAAAATGATGGAAATGCCTGAGTAGGTTGGACTCAGCCCCAAGCTGAAGAACAGTACCAAAGATGTCAAGAAAGCAAAAAAAGAGCCATTTCTAAATATGTAAGAAACTCCCACCCCTTTCCAAAAAGCTAAAACTGAATAGTAAAAATAGATAGGAGAGAAGATTTTAGGCTTACAGTCTTTTTTCCCCCTAACTTTTCTCTGGTGCAGTCTTTAAATAAACCTATATATGTCCTTGGGGCCTTACCAGAATTCTGATCTTCAAGAAAGCCTTTGCCTGACTCATCATTTAGTAAAGCCAAATAATGTCATTGTCAAGGTCTGTAAGTTCCAAACATATCACAGCAGAATTTGGAAGCTTTTTAATTTTTTCTAAATTTACTCCTAGCTAAATTCCTAAAACTAGTCTGATGGAATGGTTCACATCCTGGCCAGACTTCTGTTACTAAGGTACTTCTATTTTTAAAGTAGGTACACAGACCAATGCTTAGTTTAGAAAGGACATAAATAGATAATCTGGGAAGGCTAACATGTAGGGAGTTAGTATTTGTTGAGTTCCTAATATGTGATGGTCACCTTTACAGTGTCATCTCATTTAATCATCCCCCAGTTTATGTGATTGAAACTCAGAGATATCAAATAGCCTGCCCAAGGCCACACAGCTTCTATAGTGAGAGGCAGAGCTGAGATTCTAACCCTGATCTGAAAATCTGCCCCATGATTTAGCCATGCAGGGGCACATGGGATAAGAGATTTAAATGGGCCCTCAGTGTTTTGAACATTCCCAGAGTCTCCCTGCTTACCTCCTACCTTACCCGCTGACCGGTCTTTATTCTCCTATTCCTTGGCAGCATGGTTAAGAGTCAGAAATGTCAAACCCATTCTGTACATATATTAAAGGAAATGACCTCTTAGTGCAAGCAAAGCTATAGACTGTTATCTTCAGGGAATTTGTAATCAAGCTGGGAAGATTCATTTATTCATAAATAAATGTGTGGTATATATCTGTCATGTGTCAAACATTGTTTTAGGCAGTGGGGCTAGAGCTGCTATCAAAACTAAACAAAACCCTTGCCCTTCATGGAGTTTTTTTCCTAGTAGCAGAGATAGAAAAGGAATGAAAATGAGTGAAATATTTGCGGGTGATAAATGTTAACTGTGATAAATAGTAATGGACAAAGTAAAGCAGGGAAGGGGGATAAGGGAGTTTTGCAGGCACTTACTGAGGTCACATTTGGTGTAAGGACCTAAAAAGCGGAGAGAACAAGCCACATTTCTGGAGGGAAGATCAAGGGAAAGGGCCCTAAGTGGGGGTGTTCCTGGTATGTTCCAGGAACAAGGAGGCCAGTGCCACAGGGGTGGAGGGCATGAAATGAGGTGGGGCCCTAGAGGAAATTGGGTGGAGAGGCAGATTAGGGACAACTTTTAAGTGGGAGAAAGACATTGGAGAGTTTTGAATAGAAGAGTGACAGGATCTGATTTAATTTTAATAGGTTTACTATGGCCAGTGTGTTGAGATTAGGCTGAAGGAGGAAAGGAAGTGTGAAATGATTATGTTAACAGTAATGGCTTTCATTTATATAGGAATCTCATAGCTTTTACAATAACATTAGGCATTTATGTGGCATTAATGGTAGCAGTGACAAGGTACTTTTTATATATTTTCTCAAAAGAGCTTTCAACAGCTGTCATCACACAAATTTAAGTATTTTTATTTTATGTACTCCTTAACTAATTATAGCATTTTAAATTAATTTTACTATTTGTTGTTTAATCTTTGTAATTGCTTTATAAGTGGTTGATTCATTGCCTTTATTATTTATCTTTTCTGGTGAGATTTTTCCTTTTCTATGCTTTCTTATTAACTAGTACCTTTTTTTGGCTTACAAAAGTCTCTTTAGTAGTTCTTGTAAGGCCAGCTTAGTAATGAACTCTTAGTTTTTGCTTATCTGGAAAACTCTTAATCTCTCCTTCAATTCTGAATGATAACCTTGCTGGTAGGAAATTCTTCATTGGCAGTTTTTCCAATACGTTAACTATATCATGCCACTTCTTTCTAGCATATAAAGTTTCTGCTGAAAAATCAGCTGATAGCCTTAAGGGGCTTCCCTTATATGCTGCTTTTCTCTTGTGGCTCTTAAGATTTTCTCTTTATCCTTAATTTTGATTATTTTAATATTAAAATGTCTCAGTGTGTTTCTCTTTGGGTCATCTTTTTGGAACTCTCTGGCCTTCCTGGACCTGGGTGTCTGTTTCCTTCCCCAGTAAGGTATGTTTTCACCCATTATTTTATCAAATAATTTTTCTGGCCTTTTCTCTCTACTCTTTCTGGGATGCCTATAATGCATATTTGATTCCACTTGATGTTGTCCTGGTGATCTCTTAAAGTATCCTCACTTCTTTTAGTTCTTTTTCCAGGTTGCTGCTCTGTCTGGATGTTTTCCATTACTTTGTCTTCTAGTTCACTGATTCATGCTTCTTTTTCATCCATTCTGCTGTTGAACCCCTCTGGGATTTTTTCAATTCAATTATAACTTCTTTTTAGTATTTTCTTATATTTTCTATTTCTCTGTTGAAGTTTTCTCTGTGTTCATTCTTCTCTTGAGATCAGTAAGAATCTTTGAGACCATTATTTTTGAGCTCTTTATCAGATAGGTTGCTTATCTTCATTTCATTAAGGTTGTTTTGGGAGAATTACCTTGTTTATTGGTTCAAAACTTATTCCTCTGTCTCCTCATTTTGCCTGTCTTTCTGTTTGTCCATATATATTTGGCAAAATGACTACCTCTGTCAGTCTTTAAGAAGTGGTCTTACATAGGAGCTTTTACATATGGCCCAGATGTACACTCTTCCCTGGCCACCAGACCCAGGCATGCTGTGGGTGTCTCCTGTGTGTGCTGTGTGCCTACAGGCTGTGATAGGGCTGCAGGTGCTGCACAGGGAAGGTGGAGCTCAGGGCATTCACCTGGCCTTGTGTGGCTCAGTCTCTGCATTGGGTGGGTGGGGCTTGGGGTGCTTGCCTAGTCCTGTTGAAGTTCAGGTGCTACATGAGATGGGCAGGTCACAGGACACTTGAGAAGCCTGGTTACCATGCAGGGTAGATAGAACACAACCTCCAGTGTTAGCAGGTTAGGGGCAGGACACCAAAAATAGTGCCTGTCGGCTCTCTCACCAGCAAGTTAGGATGAGATTGCAAAAATGGCTTCACCAGTGCTTCCATTCCAAGGAAAAAGTGCCTGCAGTTTCCTGCCTCTCTGGCAGCTGGTCCAAAACTAGTAAATGAGTCTCCCTCACTTAGGGTCTAGGTGCCCCTCAGTCTGCTGCTTTTGTCCTGGATCTCAGGGTGAGTGGGTCTGTGGGCAGCCTTCCAAGAATGGGATCTGTTTCCGATAGTTCTATGATTCTCCTAGCTTAATGCCCATTGATTTTCAAGAGCAGACATTTTGGGGATTTGTCTTTCTGGTGCCAGCTGGGGTTGGGGTTCCTGATGTAGGGCACAATCCTCCAGTTCTTGAGGGAGAAGTCCACATTTTGTTGTGGGGTTGCTGTGTCTGGGGTGGGTTCCCAGGCAGGGCTGTGTCTCTGACTCCTACCCTTCTTGATGTGCCTCTTTTATCTTCTCTTGTGGAGATGCTGCTTCTCTAGCTCTAAGGTCCTTTTCAGAGGAAAATTACTCCATATGTAGCTGTAAGTTCATTGTGTCTGTGGGAGGAGGTAAGTCCAGGGTCCTCCTATGCCACTGTCTTGAACCTGAAAAGCCATGTTCATTTAAATAAAATAGGATTAGACAATACTTAATGTTTTATGAGATTGTTTTTTCATTTAAGGTGTCATTGCCTGTTTCCATTTTATGTCATTTTAATGGATACATAATATCCTATTGTACAAATTTATATAATTCTCCATTGTGGGACATTCACCTTTTATCTAATTTTCTGCGATTATAAATTTTGTGATAAACACTTTGTGCTGTAGCTGTGAAGACTTACACCATTCATCTGTGCAGTCGATTGCTAAGTCAAAGGAGAAGCAGAATTTTAAGGTTTTTGATTTCAACAAACTGTCTTCCAGAGAGGCTGTATAACAGTGACACTCCTGCTGGCAACTATGTGTAAACATTGCTTTTCCTAGAACATCAACAGTGTGTAATATCATGATGAAGGACTGTCTCTAGTTTGTTTTGATTTTATTATAATAATTAAGGTGCTATGTCTGTTTTAATTTCATGTGCTACTGATTTGTAAATGTGGCTCCAACCCTCACACCAGTTTCATTTGCCATTCCTTCCTTCGTCCCTGACGGTGGTTTTTCCTTTTTTTTTTTTTTTCAGTATTGCTGGGAGCCTGGTGTATTCCTACATAACTTTCTCTGAAGAGCAGCTGAGCAAACAGTCAGAGGCCAGTAACAAGCTGGACATTAAGGGAAAAGGAGCAGTATGACCAGAGGATTGCATCAAATACATAGGCCCAAGTTTCTTATCAATTCAGAACACTGGCAGTTCCTACACAGATACTGAGGTTGAGGTGTCTTGATTATGGAGAAAATACCATTCTTTTGCACTTGTACAACCTGAGGATTGATTGCTGCCTTTTAAAATTTTATGAGAAAAAACTTATAATTGACTCTATTTTAAATATGCCATTTGAATTAATTTATATCAGACTATAAAATGCACCAGGCTTTTTAATTTATTTTTCTTCTATGCTGACAGTGAAACATCAGAGTTTTGAAAATATTCTATTCCATAGTTTGATATCCAGGTGTCCCTGAGAGCTGCATATATAAAGTGCTCCAAATGGAGCCTCATCATTCAAATCATTGCTCTGTCTGGAAGCAGTATAGCCTCCCTTCTGCTGGAAATGCAGCCAAGTATCTGAAATTTCTCTTCTTTGAATTTTATTTCTGAACAATTGCATTTTCTTCATAAGGCCGCCATCATTGCATTCACCAAAGATGATACCTTTTGCACTGAAAAAAAAAAAAGTGGGGCTTTGAAATGTATTGGTTTCCATGTTGGCTTCCCTGAGAACTCATGGGATAAGCAGAGTGCATTCTTTGAAAATACAGTGTTTCCTCTTTGTTGTGAATGATATGAATAATGAGGGGAGGGAGGAAGTAGGCCTTTTACCCTGTCTTTATTCATCTGTCTGATTCATTCATTCAACTAAAATGTACTGAATATGTCATATGGGCCAGGCATTGTGCTAAGTGTAGGGGTACAGGTATGGTTTTGGAGGTAGTTGAATCTCAGTTGTACAGTGATGACTGAGGCTAAGACAGAAGACGATCCATTCAGAATATGGTACGAGTATGAACAAGTCACAGAGCTTTTCTGCTCGTAGAAACTGCAAATCTATAAATGGGGTTAGAAGCACTCCCCCACCAACCCCACCGCTGTGTAAAACCAAATGCTCCAGTGTGAGGTCAGTGTGTGCGGAGCTCAGCCGTTGTTCTCTGAGTGAGAATGGCATGCAGGTGAGGTGGTCACCATCTGCTCCCCCGGGCTGCCCTCCTCCGGGTTAGGTGGTTACTCTTTTTTTGCTCCTCTTCAAGTCAGTATGACCAGGTCTCTCATTCCTGGAGTACAGGCTTGAGGGCGAAGGCTGCTTGGAGGTTCCCTACCATCAAGCCTTGGTCTGCCTTGTCAGTGTCAGAGCCGTTGTCTTCCTTTCTCCTCAGATGGGAGGAGCCTCCCTTCTTCGGACACCCCACCTATGTCCCGTGCCCCTTGGCTCACTTCCTGAGCATGCCTGCTTCTCTCAAGACCAGTGCTGCACCCTGGGAGCCTGAGTTGCCTCATTGGGTCGGGCAGGGTATTAACACAGACACAGTCCAGTGACTTGGCCCGTGACCTCCACTGACTGTGGGCACGAGTGTTTGCTCAGGCCAGTGTGCTGTCCATGTACACAAGGCTGGGTACCTTTGCACTGGTGCACACACCAGCTTCAATCTCCCTGGTTTTGGAAGCCACTGGGCTCTGGTGACTAAACAGTATTTCGGTGCCTCAGCAGGTGACTGGGAAGGTTTCAATTTCTTTTTAATCTTTGGAAAATTATATTGAGGTCATTTTCATAATTTCAATGTCTTTCTCTTATTTCTGTGTAACTTTTCTTAAAGCCTGGCCTGTTGTACTGGGTCCTTAGAATTAGGCTCATGACCAGTTTCCAATTTAGAAGTTCCAAGTAACAGATCCTAAGGCTAACTTTTTTCCAGTATCATCTGATATGAGAAAATATCAGTGGGAGAATAGGATATGACATTGTGTAAGATGGTTTTTATTGTCCCTGTTTTACCAATGAGAAAACAAAACTCTAGAGAAAGTCAGTGACTTGCTAATAAGTCAAAATTAATGGTTTTTACATTGAACCATGCTTCCATGATTAACTGCCCTTATTTTCTGAGAAAGTGAGGAAACAGGCATGCTAGCTGAGTTAATTTGGAGCCAGAGACAAACAGGCTTTGCAAATCAGGGAGCATGATGGGTAATGTATGCCAGAGCTCACTCTATTCCAGGCTGGGCTCCACTGATAGGCACTTCTGACTGTGAATGTTGTGCACACTGCCTGGTTTTGCCTGAGCAAAGGGTGAAGGCACTGCGAGAGCTAATTTTAGGGGTTTCATTTCTTTTTCTGTCAGCCATGTGAAGAAAGGTACTTTGACATTAGAAGTCATTTGTGTTGAGGAATTTCTCATCATGAAAGGCCTTTGGATGTTGTTTAGAGGAGGTTGGGTAGAACCCCACCAGGTGTTCAACTGTTTCTTGGGGGTCAGGTTACCTTGAAGATCTGTCATCTCTCCAGATTTATTTGAGAAAATCACATACAGTTATAGCTTCACTAAATGCACATGACCTCAGGGCCCCTGGCCTATACCTAATGAACTTTCTGACTGATCAGAAGCAGTAGAGCAACTTACAGCTTCTTCCCTTTCCATATTCTGGTTCCTGGAAGCCCCCTTCATCTGGCACCACCATGGCAAGATAAGAGAAGGCGGCCTGGGAAGTTGGAGATCGACTGGACTGGGCAGCCATCTTTGGAGTTTGTTTTCAGTTATGTGTAGGCTTTGTTATTGTACACTAGAGATTTACCTGATACTCTAGCATCACCCAAATGTCTGGATTTTGCCCCAAGGTTAATTCTTTACAAGACAAAATTTTTTGACCTATTAACTACCTCTTGGGAGAAAAAGAGTCAATGTAGAGTGAATTCCTTAATTTGCCTTTTGAGACAGATGAGCTGTGATGAGAATTCTGAAAGCCAAACTTTATGGCTAGTGGCTCCTTTTCTTGAGTTGGTAACAGTGAAGTCCTCTTTGGCCAGTCTGCGGTTAGTCAGTGCCAGATCGATCTGAATAACCCTGACTGCACATTGCCAACATGTCAGGTGTTTTTTTAATCACCACATGGCTGTTGACTTTATGAGTCAATCATTTGTAGGATCCAACTTGCATGTAGACTTTCTTTAAGTGCATTTGCACATTTTCTGTAGTCCTGTTGTATCAGGAATCCATGGAAAGTCCAGGTCAGTAAAGTTGATGCAGGATCTTCATGGAAAGATTAGTAGTTTCACATTTGACTGGTTTGGAATAGTACCTAGGATCTTGGGTCTGCCTTTGCTTTGTTATTAGGGCCTCATTCAGTGAGCAAAGATTTACTGAGCATCTATTTTTCACAAGGCGTTATGCTAAGCTCTGGGGAAACTGAGATGAATAGCACATGGTTCTTACTTTCCAGGAATCTACCATCATTTAGCCAGAATGTAATTGGGAAAAAGAAGCAGATGAAAGGAGTTGGTAATTTGTAAGCTTCCTGCACTATTACCAGTATCACTAATTAGGGATGCCCCACCCATAGGGGCATTTTTATCATCTAAGAGGACTTTTGTAACTCTTAACTACCCTTGAAACTCTGAGATAAGTGTCAAGCTATTAGAATTCAGTGAATAGCTGGGTCTCTCCTCCCTCACTGCACATATTCTTTCTTTCCCATGGCTGTGTAATATTAGTTCCTCCTTATGAACACTGTTGTAGTTGAACACAGTTGTAATTTCCCTCAGGGAGGGGAAAGCAGTAATAATAAGAATAAATGAGGTAATAGTTGTGAGACTAGTTAGCACAATGCCTAGTACATATTAGGCACTCAGCAAATGTTACTGCCATTATTTCCTGGTGTGACTATAGACAAATCAAGATGTTCAATTTCGCTCCTTAATGCTAGAGGCTGGGCAATGTGTGTTTTTCTGGAAAAATGTGACCCTGTACTTCGTTGCCACTAAAATGATTAAGTTTCTATTCATAGTCTTTTTTAAAATACTAACTAGATACAGTTGTGGCCACTCTGTGATGCAGGTGATTCCACCTGTTTTTAAAAAAGAATCAAATTACTCTCATATTTTTATGGTAAATTTCAAAGAAGAGAAATAATTTTCCATGTTAGAGGAAGATAATCACACTTCAGAATCGTTGTTAAAACTTGCAGCATGTCACCTCCAGGAAGCTCCTGTGCGGGCCGGACTTTCCTTCTTCCCTTCTCTGAATTAAATGCCTTGGTTTGCGCTGCCTCGTCTCCAGGCTCATCTCAGTTATTGGTGTTTGTGAACCTCTGGCAACATCACTGTTTTCTAAACCTATCTTCTAGATTTTCCTGTTAGATGCCACTTTATCAGAGTAACAAGAGATACCCTATGGTGGCTTTTCTTTAAGGTTTCTCTTTTGAAAATACTTTTTAAAAAAGAAATCTACTGGTTAGATTTATTGTCTCTCAAAAAATGTTTTTAGAGTTTATTTTGTTCATAAATATTTCTTTTTCATGCTGACAATCAACTGATTTTTGTCTACAAATGTTGGCCTATTGCAGTATTTTTTCAATATAGATTCTATTTGCCAAATGACCATTTTTGTGTTTTTAAAAGGTACTGGGAATTGAGATATGTAAATCAGGTGACATAAACATGAAAATTATGTGCCTAAATATTTTTGTAAAGGTGTCAAATAAATAATTTTCCTGAACATATGTATTAAGATTTCTTTCTAACTACATACAAAGAATCGAGCCACAGGTCTGCCTAAATTTAAGAGGATGGCATCTGTTAGTTGACTGAGACCTAACAATAGAGAAAATACTGTTTGTCATTGTGTTATAGTGGTTTATAATTAGAATGTGTGTGTGTGGTCTTTGTCCCTGTGTGTGGCACTGACCTCCTAAAACCCTTGTAATTCCTACAAGAGGTAAAGGAACATCGTTTGTTATATTTAGTTTTGTTCCCAGTTCCTGAAATAGCTAGACCTATAAAGGTGAAATGGGTATCTTTTGTTAATCATAATAAGCCTCTTTAATCACACCTGAGTTTATGTTAATATGGTGACTGAGCTGGTAGTCAGAATCAACCTTGTGATTTGACTTTCAAACACCCATTCCTATCCCTAACCTAGGTGGAGCGGAGAGGGGCTGGGAGTTAAATCACTAGTGGCCAGTGATTTGATCCATTGTGTAATCCTAATGAGGCCTCCATAAAAATCTCTGGGCTAGAAAGTTCAGACAGCTTCCAGGTTGCTGAGCACATGGAGGTGTTGGGAGGATGCGGGCATGGAAACTTCACGCATGCCCCTTCCACATACCTTGTTGTATGCATCTCTTCCATCTGGCTGTTTCTGACTTACATTCTTGTGTAATAAACCAGTAATTTAGTAAGTAAACTGATTTCCTGAGTTCTGTGAGCCTAACAAATTAACCAACCTGATGAGGGGGTCAGGGAGACCTCAGATTTACAGCTGGTTGGTCAGAAGCACAGGTAACAACCTGAACTTGTGGTTTGCAGTGGAAAGATGGTGGTCGGGACTGTCCTGTGGGTCTTAGCCCTTCACCTGTGGGATCTAACGCTAACTCCAGTTAGACAGTGTCAGAACTGAACTGCAATACACCCAGCTTGTGTCACAGGTTTGCTTGGTAGGGAAAGAACCCACAGGTTTGGTGACCAGGCGTATTATGAGTAGAGCAGTGAGAGAAGACAGGAGTTTTTCCTTTACGGCTATACAAGTGATTTGCATGAACAGCGTATGTGACTAAATATCCAGTGTCTTTGACATACTTGTAAATTCAAAGGAAAGAAATGCTAACCTTTCTGCTTTGAGATTTCATCTGCTTAATCAAGTGTGTAAGCCTCATAGCTTTACTAGGAAATGAACTAAAAATAGCACATGCTCATTAAGGGAGGCACTTTGCTATACCGGCAGACTCAACAGAGGTAGAAGTACATTAAGGCAATTTTTAAAAATTGTGGTAAAATACACATAAAATTTACCACCGTAACCATTTTTAAGTTAACATTCAGTGGTAATACATATATTCACACTGTTGTGCAACCAGTCTCCAGACCTTTTTCATCTTGCAAAACTGAAATCCATACCAGTTAAACAGCTTCCCACTTCCCTTTCCCTGCAGCCCCTGGCAACCACCATCCTCCTTTCTGTCTCTCTGAGTCTGATTCCTCGAGGAACCTTGCGTAAGTGAAATCATACAGTATTTGTCTTTTTGTGACTGGCTTATTTCGGTTAATGTAATGTATTTGAGGTTCATCCACATTGGAGCATGTGTCAATTTCTTTTCCAGGCTGAATAATATTCCATTGTATTTATATACTACATTTTGTTTATCCATTCATCCTCTGAAAGATACTTGGGGTGCTTTCACCTTTTGGCTACTGTGAATAATACTGCTAAACATGGGTGTCTTAGTTAGTTTGGGCTACTATAACAAATTGCCATAATGTTGTGGCTTAAAGAACAAACATTTAGTTCTCAGAGCTCTAGAGGCTGGGATGTCCCAGGGTACCAACAGATCCGGCATCTGGTAAGAACATGCTTCCTGGTTTGCATATGTCTGTTTCCTCATATCTTCACATGGTGGAGAGCAGAGAGAGGAATCAGGTCCTGTTTTTCCTCTTCTTATAAAGTCACTAATTCTATCATAAGTACTGCCCCTTATGACCTAATTACATCTCCAAAGCTCCACCTCCAAATACCTTACTTTGGAGTTTAGGGTTTTAACATGAATTTGAGGGGAGGACAAAGAATCCATAGTAATGGGTGTGCAAACAGGCTTTCAATTATTTTGGAATTGCTGGGTCATATGGTAGTTTATAATTTTTTGAGGAGCTGCCATACTGTTTTCCACCATGGCTCACCATTTACATTCCTACCAGCAGCACACAAAGTTTCCATTATTGCCAACACTCATTTTGTTTTATTGATAGTAGCCATCCTAGTTAATGTGAGGTGGTATCTCATTGTGGTTTTGATTTGTATTTTCATAATAAATAATGAGGTTGAGCATCATTTCATATACTTGTTGGCCATTTATATACTTTGAAGAAATGTCAGTTCAAGTCCATTTTTTAAAAATTGGATTTTGTTAAGTTCTTCATATATTCTGAATTTTAACCCCTTATCAAATGTTACTTGCAAATATTTTCTCTCATTCTGTAAATTGCCTTTTCATTCTTGTTGACTGTGCCTTTTGATGTAGTTTTAAATTTTGATGTAGTATAGTTAACCTATTTTTACTTTTATTGACCATGCTTTTGATGTAATAGCCAAGAGAATTGCCAAATTCACTGTCATGAAGCTTTTCCCCTGTTTTCTTCTAAGAGTTTATAATTTTAGGTCCTACATTTAGGATCCCCTTTTAGTTAGTTCTGTAGATGGTGTAAAGTCCAACTCCATTCTGTGTGTGAACCATTGTTTTCCTGACACTTTGTTGAAGAGACTGTCCTTAAGGCATGTGTTTTAATCAGCTTAAAAAAATTCTTTGACTTTTTCCTTAATGTGTGAGATACATGTTCTTTCCAATCAGCCCCTTGCTGGTTTCTCACCTTGCTTGGTTTCTGGGCACATGCTTGTCAGTATTGGGAAGCACCGCAGGAGAGGTACTGCCCAGAGTCGGAGCAGAGCTGGTGCCTTTATGTTATCCACAGGAGGTGAACAGCTACCAGGTACCCCCAGGACTTCTTCCCTGCAGCTGTCATCACGTTTCTTTATCCATCCATCAAACCAGACTGAGCTCACTGGGGCGAGTATCCAGCCTCCAGCAGAGGCCTGGTCCAACCATAATGCTCCATGAGGTACCATTTGTCCAGTGTGTTGTGGAACCCACATCCAAACCCTAATCAGTCCAACTCAAAAGACCTTTGCTCTTCACCACCATTCTAGGTTCTTGTTTCTCCTCGTCTGCTTTTCACAGACTTGGTGGCTCCAAGCTCATCAACACTATATGCCTGTTTAATACCATTCTTCATTCAAAGTTCACACACCTAGGATTTAAAGACTAGGCACGAGCTGGTTGCTGATTGCATCTGAGAAAGCCAACAGCCATGCCTTTCCATCTGTCTGGTGGTGCCCTCTTGTGGCAACAGCTGCCATGGGGAATAAATGGTGACAAGCAGTTCGCTTTCAAGAAAAAGTAGTAGTATTTACTAAAGCCTACTATGTGCTTTCACAGAATGAGACCCCTACCCTCTCTTGTCGGACTACAATGCTTTACTGTTGCAGAATGCTGCCGTAAGCAGGGTGGAGGGATTTGTCCAGCTTCCCTCAGCTGATAAAAGTTAAATTAGGACTTCGATTTTAAAAACTGTTTTTCCAAAGAATTCCAGATAACCACCCTATGAGAGCACAGTTTGATCAAGAGTGCCTCATCATGTCTGCTTATCTTTCAGATAATTATTTTCATTGAATATTTGTGAGGACAATATCTACAAATGATGACAATCATGAAACTGAGATAAGTGTAAGAATGCAGGGGAGGAAGAATGGTAGAAAAAACTTCCTTGGAGAAATGGTATTTGAGCTAGTTCTTAAAGGACAACTAGGATTCAATTGAGGGGATAGCCATCTGGTGACCCAGGGCTGCTTTATCTGTGTCTGTCTAGAACACATCCCCTCTTGATGTCTTTATAGCACATGCCCACATCTCTGGGCCTTCCCTGACCAGCCTATCTGAAGTGAACCCCACCACACTCCCTGTTCCCCTCCCATGCTTTATTCCCCATAGAATTTGTCTCTCAACATAAAATTGAAGTTTTATGAAGGCAGAGATGTTGGTCTGTTTTGTTCCTGCAGTGTCCCTGGCACCTAGTGCTGAGTACATGTAGGTACATAATAAATATTTCCTGAATGAATACATATGGACAGAGTAGCCAATTAACAGCTACATTTTTTTGAGCATAGCAACACGCCTCAAACATGGACTAATCTTCATTTTAGAAAGATCATGTAGGCTGCAGTATTTGGATTGTAGGCTGTAAGTCTGGGGTTGACAAATCCAAATCTTACAGGGGCCAGGCAGGTAAAAAGTATGACTCCGAATGAATCAATAGTGAGTGGTAAGGTTTGTGGCACTTACCTGTTTAAAAGCATTCAAATTAAAACAAAACTTTGGCCCACTGGCCATCAATGTGCCTAAATCAAGACTGCCATAGATCAAATATGTGCAATAACAAGATAACTGAAGATGCTGTGCAGATACTGTCAGGTCGGAGTCGGAAGAGGGCAGGACTGTACAGCTGAGCACATCAGCAAGAGAAGGCTGCTGGGCAGGCCTGGTGAGAGATGAGGAGGTCCGAACGTGTAGTCGTGAAAGCACAGAAGAGAAGCAGGATTTGAGTTATTTTAGGAGGTAGAATTATCAGAAGACAAATCTGTTTCGATTTTTCATTTATAAGTAAAGTAGTGGTAAAAATTTTTTTTATTTTTTACTACATCTCATGTCTTCAGGAGACCATTTGAACTTCGGGAGACCAGACATGAACATTGTAACTCAGGTTTCCAAGTGTTTTCAAAAAGGTAATTTTCAAGTGTAGCAATGGAAGACAGTGCCTGTTATATGTACCACAGCAAAAATTAACTTACTGCACATTTGCTATATGCTATGTCAAGTTTTTCTTAACATATTACATTTTAATCTCCTAAACAATCCTTTAAATTAAATCCTATTACTGAAAGTTTCCATTGTTGGAG